CCCCAGCGGCAGGGAGGAACGGGAGGCGGCCACCGTCCCCTCGCTCCACCTCCCGGCCTGGGTTTCCCCCCTCCTCCTCCTCCCCTTCTCTCTCTCTCTCTCTCTCCCCTCCGGCTGTCGGGTCTCCGCCGGGCGCCCGGGTGTCACGTTACTGCCTCTGCTGGGGAGGGGCGGGCGGCGATTATTCCAAACGAGGAAGAAAGTTTCTGGGTGTTTTGTTTTTTTTGGTTTTTTTCTTCTTCTTCTTCTTTCCCCTTTCTCTACACTCCGGCCTCGGTTCCTGCGCCACCAGCGACCTCTTGGGGGCCTCTCAGACATCCCTCTCGTAAACAGACGTGGGCAAGAAAAACCTCCACTTAACTTTACTCCATAGATTCTTTCTCATTTCAGAAACTTGATTTTTATGTCCTTACAGCAAGCGAGCGGCTTACAAAAGGTGGATAAAAAGTACCTGAGAAGAGGTCCAGGACTTCGCTGCACACATCCGACAGTCGGTGTTGTGGGTTATCATTAAAAGATGCGGGTTGTAATTACACACTCCCCACACACTTGCTCATCTCTGGAGCTCTCTAGAAAAGACACAGAGATGAATGCTTCCTTCTCCTTTCCCTAGTCACATCTACTCAGGAGACCCTGGTGGAAACGGGCTGACTCACCTAAATGCACAGGTGAAGGTCCTAGTCCGCCAGGAGGCAGGCACCTTGTAAGAGAGGCCTGGCAATCTACTGTCAGTTAAAGGTCAGCCTTTGAAACCTCTGTGAAGCACAGTCTTCTCCTGACATTTGAGAGGTGTCCATGAATTGGTGAGGAGTCTTTTTGGCTTAGTGGTAAGGAGTCGTGCTGCCAAAACCAAACCAGGTGGCTCAAATCCACCAGCTGCCCCGCGAGATGAGAAGGATGACCGGTCTGCAGCTTCGTGATGAACTTATTCCCTCCGAAAACCCTTTGGAGGTTCAGCTGTGGGTCAGTTCTCACTCTGCAATACCCAACAACAACTGAGCTGGAATCCACTGATGATGAAGGCTGCTCTTCTCCCGGCAGTTGGACTCCAAGCAGAAGTGGCATCCACCTCCTAAACAACATGCCTCTGGAAACTCTGTGAACTTTGATAAATGATGATAGTCCTAGAAAGGCTTCAGGCCTTTGATTCATAGGGTCGCGATGAGTCGTCTTCGATTCCACGTAATCATCATCAACAACAACTGACAGAAGAAAGATGGGCAGTCTCCTCCCATGTGATTTGGTGTTATGTCCCCTGGAGTCAGAACCACAGCCACGGGAGGCTTTGGGATTCTACTCCATGACAGTGGGAATGAGAGGTGAGACAGAAAATGGTTTGGTTTAGATGGTTGATTTGGGAATTTTATTTCGTTTTTAGGGCAACTCATCTCTGGTGGCTTAGTGTTAAGGTATTGCACTACCAATCCAAAGGTAAGTGGTTCAAATCCACCAGCTGCATTTTGGGAGAAAGAGAGGCTACCTCTTTCCCTGCTCTTTACTCCCTCTGAAAGCCCATAAGTGCATCAGTGAACACCCTAAATGTAGAGGGGGCTGCTATTCAAAGACTGAAGCAGCACCTGGAGCTGATAGAGATCCTTCCTGGACAGCAATCTGTACCCCAGGTGCACCCACTGAGGTGGTGGAGGATTCAGGAGAGGCTGCTTCATCAACCACACACTTCAAGTAAGGACAATTTCTAGAAGCCAGACTATTTATTTGTGCTTGCCCAGTCATGGAGCTGGGAGGATTGGAGTGGAACCCAAACTAGATTCAGTTTGAATCTCAAGTTCACTATATTAACTACTAGACTGCACTACCCACCTACCCCCACCCACTCACCCCCCAGACAGGACATTTTGGTCCATAATTTGCAGGGCAACTGGGAAATGAGATTGAACACGTTTAGCCCTGGTCACCTTGAAAAACTGAAATCTCAGTTTCTACCGTTTTTCACCTCTGGCTTCTGGTCACTGATGCCTGATTCAATAAAGAATGCAGAGCCACAGACCTCTGAAATACTCAGACTGTGTGTCTGAAAACCTCTACACAGTAGAGTATGTGGAGAATTTTCTAGAGGAAATGATCCTGCAATCAGCTAATCTCCTTAGGACTGAAGAATAATACAGTCTATCCCTGTTTAATTCCCTCTGATTTGAAAAACCAGCAGAGAGAAAGACATGCCACAGCTGATGAGATGGAGAGTCAGAGAGTCGCAGCCGGTGAGAGGGGCAGGTGCCTCCCACACACGCACACAAATTTGACTCCTAAAACTTAGTACTGGCAGAACTTTCTAGAGACTAGGAAGACTGTTTGGGGGCCCACAGACGGCAAGCCCCCTTTTCATTTATATCACAGCAGATCCAAAGTAGTATGCTAATAGTTTGTTTGACGTTCACTCCATGAATCACAGCCGTATTTGGGCTAAAGCACACATTGTGGAAATGCGAGTGTCCCTGGGAGAATGAAGCCAATCAGCACCTCCATGAATGTGAATTACTTTAATCAGCTCACTGAGTAGTCCCGGATGGGTCCCCAATTAATAATTTTTTAGTTAATGAAGAGGGACAAGGAGGTGGAAGGAGCATAGCCATTTTCCTAATGTTCCCTGGAGCCTCCCCAGTCACACTGTCATCAAATTGATTTGACTCATCGAGATTCGGTGGGACAGAGTGGAAATGTCCTGTCGGGTTTGCAAGGTGATAAATCTACAGGGAATAGACCGCATCGTCTTTCTCCTGCAGAGGGCCTGGTGGATTAGAACAGCTGATCTTTTGGATAGCAGCCAAATACATTAAGCCCAGGGCAGCAATGCTCCACAAGTGATGCTACACTCATGGCCACTGTGTAAATTTCTACTCATAATGACCCTCCATTGAGGGTTTTGTGTGTGTGTGCGTGTGTGTGTACCATCAAATTGCATCTGACTGGTACAGGAGGAGATTGACCCTCCTTCTCCAGCAGAGCATCTGGTGGATCCAAACCGTGGACCTCTGGGAGTGCAGTGCAGCTTCTAGCCACTAGAGCTCCGTTCCATTGAGTTTTTGAGGCTGTAAATTATTTCTCCCTCCTCCCCTCCAGGCTGTAAATCTTATAGGAGGAGCCTGCTCACCACTTTCCCATTGGAACTGCTGGTTGATTCCTCTTTTTTTTAGCAGCCCAATCCATTATCCTTTCTAGGATTCAACACACAAACCAACCTCTTTACACACTGGCCCTTTGTCTGAGGCCTGATCTTGTAACCTGAACTCTTATTGGATGTAAAAGAATGTGCAAAATCCACTCTGTATTCTTAAGGCTGGAAGTCTAGAGAGCGCTCCCTCCCAGAATGCTTTGAGAAATCTCCCAATTTTTTTTTTCTCCAAGGAAAAAGAATCTGAGGAACAGTGAAGTTTAAACAAGGGCTGAAGCTGGAAGAAAAGAACAAAATATTTGAGGAAACAAGTAATTGTGGAAGAGAAGATTTTGTTTGGTTTGGTTTGGTTTTTTGGTTTATGTTTTGGGTTTTGTTGTTGTTGTTTGGGTTGTGTTTTTTTTTGGGTTTTTTGGGGGTTTGGGGGGTTTTGTTTTGTGTTTTGGTTTTTGGGGGTTTTTTTGTATCCTCAACAGTTAAAATGTTATAAGAAAGGTGCAAGGGAATGAAGTCCAGTCTAGACAAAACAAGCTGTAACGTGAAAAATTGTAGAGGGGGAAACAGGAGGGCCATTGTGGACTAGAAGTAAAACAAACACCAAACCTATTCACAGAAGAAAAAGAAAAATTATCAAGATACCAACAAGTTTCATATAAAATAAATGTATTGTTTACCCAACACAAACTTTTATGTTTCAGTGGGGAAAGGAGGGGAGTTTCTTCAAAAGTTTTAAAATTTGAAGTACTAATATCTTTGTTTAGGTCAGCTAATAAGTCTACTGACTGAGAATTTATGCACACCTTTTATTATTTCTCTAATAACTGAATATACTTTCGTCAACACCTTGATTTTCATCCACTATCTTGAGCTTTGAAATCCCTTCTGTCTCCAGGAGTTTGCATCTCTCATCAGACCCACTCACTTCTGTCCGCCCTGACTCGTTAGACCTGGTTATCACTGTCAGCTGTATCTCCTCTGAATCTCATTGTCAAGTCTCCTGCCCTCTGACTGTCCCCTCTTACTCTTCCACTTAGCTTCTCTGGTTCTTCCAACTTAGCAATTTTTCCAGACCTTTCAAGAACCTTCTGTTTTATCGTCCACTACCTATCTCAGGTCCTTACCTGTTTACCCAGTTTTTGTACCATGATCCATCACTCTCACTGCTTGTAAAACACTCCATTGTAAAAAGGCCAGATTCAGTCAAGCCCAACAGTGCAACTTAACTGTCCTACAGAACACGCTAAGTCACCACATATTGCAGAGCACACATGTCTAATGTACGCTCGTTCCTGCCCAGCTGTCCCACCCTCTGGAATGACCGTTTCACAGCTTCCCCTTCTTCAAACCTCCACATGTCCATGATTTGCTTTCACCTCTTCAGTCCCAGTTGATGGCTTTGCCTCCTGCACCATCTGAAAGTAGTAGCAAGAGAACAGGAGCTCTGCCTTTCCTCAAGCTCTGACCCTTCCCTCTTGCCTCATG